CTATGCGTTATCGCATAAGACCCTGCTTAAGCCATGTGGTACTCCGGGCGTCCTCCGGATGTGACAGGCTCGGTCATGTGGTGCGTGTATAGCTGAAAAGTCCCGGTCCCGCCGTGGTAGGTCTAGCTGAATGTGTAGGGTTTCCCATCGTAGACAGGCTCGTTATTGCCGTAGTTGTACAGACTGTGTATGCCGCGGGCTCCAATCGCCCCGTTATAGCGCGCTTGTCTTTGCATCACGGCTGCCGACCCATCCGGTCCCTTGATTTCTGTGAAAAAGTTCGGCACTAAAGGTTTGTTTTCCATAGTGGATGGAATGATGTAATCGCCGAGCTCGTTGCGGATGGATGGATCGAGATCTTTAGGAGGCGCGCCGTAGTAAATATCGGGTTTGGCTGGTGCCAGCGAGCTGTCAGATACGAAGGTACTCGATGGTACGATGTGGAAGGATCTAGAAGATTCCAGGTGGAGCATGAACATGGGCACCCCGGTGCACAGACCACATACTTTGTGTATATCAACGAGAACAATCATCCTCTTCGAAGGACAGAGGAAAGAAGAGACAATGCATTCTTCCCATTTATGGATGACTAGAGACAGTGTTTTCTGACATGTGCCGCCAGGCTGAGCATGGGCTGAGATGCCCGACATCTCTGGGGTGTTACACCAACGCACCACCTGAAGTTAAAGCTGCCAGCGCACGGCGAAGGGCACGCCGCATCTACATTGGAATTTTGCCGGCAGAATTATGTTGTGTAATTCAATGTGTGCAGAAGATTCTGCCGGCAGAATTATGTTGTGTAATTCAATGTGTGCAGAAGATTCTGCCGGCAGAATTTTATGCTGTGTAGTTAATCGTGTTTGGAGAATTCTGCCGGCAGAATCCGTGTTGTGCAATTAAGTGTGTCCAAAGAATTCTGTCGGCAGAATTTTGCGTTGTGTAATTAAGCGTGTTTAAAGAATTCTGCCGGCAGAATTTGTGTTGTGCAATTAAGCATGTTTAAAAAATTCTGCCGGCAGAATTTTGTGCTGTGTAATTCGTCACGGCCATGGCCGAAGACTAGAACAGTCGATTGGCGCTACGGAGAAGGGAAGGAAAAGCAGGGGTTCTGGTGTCAGGTGCGCGTCTTCACGACGGTCCACCGTGTGGGTCCTGGTCCGTAGGTTTTGGCCTATGGGTCTTGACCCGGCTGTTCAGCGTTCAGCTGTTAGGGATCGACCACGGCAGAGAGACAGGGTTGCAATAAACGCGATGTTGATATGACTATTTAGTTTTCACCCAGGCGGCCGAGCACGGGCCTTACAGGCACGGGCCACGGCCCACAGGCATAGGCCCCCAGCCACCGTGGCTCAGCGACTCCCAAGGCGCCACGCCACCACAGCGTCCTGCAAATGCCTTCCAACCTTGTCATAGTTTGGTTCGTCTCGCACTGGGCCATTGGGTGGAGCGCCGGGAACGGGGTCGCCGTGCCACCTGGGCCGGCCCGGCCGCCCAAGTCCTTCCTGATCACAGCGATGCCAACACCGACCGTAGACCACCGCAGCTATTAGGGAAGCTGACGTTGATTACAGCCATTAGGATCCCGAAGATTCACTTCCTTTCGGGCCGAGGCTTATCGCTGCAGATAAATTGCTTTGCGGGAGAACCACACCGTGGCTCATTTAAGACTATTGGGGTGTCACGGGATGATAGCAATGCACCCTGCCGATAAGAAACCGCACTTGTTCAAACGCGGCATCCCCCCTTCGCCTGCATTAGGTTTGCAGTGAAATCTTGCGAATCTTTCCGCGTTTCACGCCTTATTTCCGCCCTCCTTGCCAGCCTGAGAGACGAAACGTTCAACACAGCCATTTCGTTCTAGCAATAATGCCTGTACCGCGTGACCACGCAGGTCGAGTCAAGCGTGTGCCGGCACTACCAGAAAAGAGCGTGTTTGACGACGTCCTATATCTCGGCACGGTCGAACGACGTCATGCCCCACCGCAGAATGGCGTGCCTGACGACGACGTCGTCTATCTCGGTACTGTCAACCGAGGTCACGCCATGGAAGAGGCGGTTTGCGTTGGTAATGCAACCGTTTAGAATACGGCCGGAGGACGACCCGCTGACCAAAGAACCAAAGCTCGAGCGAGGACTTCGAGTAGCCGAGGCCCTTCACGCCCTTCACGCCCATCTCACGGAGGCGCTATATCGACACCGCATCCTCTCCAAAACCGTCGGCGATCCAGCGCACCACACCGACAAACCAAGATCCCTCCTCAAATACTGGATGGATTGGTCAAACTGGGTTGGTCGCGACGTTTGGATGGAGGGTGGCAAGAGGTTTACGGCTCTTTCAGCCGCACCGGTCGCTTCTGTTACTGGCTTGACACTGCCAAATCAACCCCGATTGCGCAGAAGAACGTTCAATATGTCACTCGCTTTGGGGGCATGACACGGCAGCAAGTCAAAGCTGAAGTCTACCGTATCTTGGAAGCGGCGTCCATGGATACCGGCGTTGTATGAGCCGGTACCGTTACGAAGCCGAACCGATCGATCGGCCGAAGTCTGGGTTTGCAGCCGCCCGCGCGGATCCGGGAGATGAGCCGCTCGAGACTAGGTGTCTTAACCATCCTATGGATTCGGGCGCTGTGGTCTTCATCCAATGATTGGTCCGACTTTGGGGTAGCGTGGTCTGGATTGGATCGGAATTGCTGCTCCCGGCCCGAGCGCGACCGTATCTGCGGTGCTTGACGATGTGCTGATTTTTCGTCGGTATTCATTACGACAAGCATATACTTGTGGGGGGAAGGCGATATCGTGTGCAGGTGCCAGCGGATGGATGAGATTGGGATTATTCCTTATAATTTCAGGCAAGCATCTTATTTGGTCGAGACTCGGAGAAGCGCTTGACACCAGACGCTGGACGGCTTTTTTTCTTTCTTTTTTTCCTTCCTGCCCGGTTCGTGGCCTGGATGGCATGCAGGTAGCTGCTGGTGGCTCGATTCGTGGGCTCGGTCCGTGAAGCTCTCGACCTTTGGCGGGCGTCGCCCTAGAGCTGCTGCTGCCAATGATTGGTGCGCAAGTCGGCCGAGGATGGCCTGTTTATGTATCACGACCGGCATGCCTTCCTGCTCTTTTACGTTGACGACATCGCGCTCCTTTACCGAAGAGACCACACAAGTATCACAAAGAAGTAGGGCGCGCAGTGGACGGAGTACTTGACAGACCTCTAATCTGTAGCCAAAAAGAGCGTGGTGAGGGTGGGACACCCTCTGACCATACCTACATGCCAGTGCTCGGTAATAGCCTTGCGACCACTGGCCGGCCTCGGCGAGGCCGGCCAACAGCCCCGTGGAGCCCGTAGGGTACGAGCGGGTACGGCCATCTGGAAGAACAGCCCAAGGAGTGGTCCCTTCAGGCATCCCCGCGGCGGTGACCCCCCCTTGGCAAGCTGGCGTGGCCGGGCACGAGAGCGGGAGGCGGAAACACGGCGCTCAAAACCAAAAAGTAACGAAACAGTCGATCCAAACCAGCGCGTGCTTGACACGACGGCGTGGCAGAGCTTGCGAAACCAGCGGGCGGCACAGCGACCATGTGTTGCTCCGTTGCCAAAGGCAATGGTAAAACGGCACGACGAAAAAACGGACCATGGCGTTACAAGCACGTTGGCACACGTACCCAAGTGGTCGGTAGACGACGCACGCTTGGGCGGGACGACAGCTGGCGGGACGGACAAGGGCTGCCGCCCAGGCGGGTGGCACACCCCTGGCAGACCTCATGATCAAAAAAGGCAAGAGGAGATTCCATCAACCCAAGGGTCTATCGCCTGAAAGCACGACATACATCGACGCGAACCCAAACCCAAATCCTCGCCGACATGCCTGGCGTTCTTACCCGGCTCACCTGCCGTCTAAATCGACAAGATGACTCCAGCTCATAACATCCCAAGCGCTGGCCGGCACGGAAACGCGGCTTTTGCCACCGGCCGGCGGCGTCCCAGGCGTCATCCGGCCGATTCATACTACCCCGTCGAAGCGCGTAACCAGCCAGGTACCGCGCATGTCGTCAGCGGCCTGATCCTTGCTTGCTCGGGCGACCGCGTGCCTCAAAGCGAACAGATTGTCGTCGGACTTGGCCATCCCCAGCCGGAAGGCATAGGTAAACGCATGCACAATAAAATCGACCTTGTTGTCGCGCAGGTGGTCCAGCGGCATGGTGGACGACATGGCATCACGGATATGGACGCCGTAGACGTTTTGCGTCTTTACGCGGAAGCTCAGGTGGCCTCTAACGTCAAACGAGGCCACGACGGCCTGACGCTGGGCCGGGGGCAGGTCGAACTGGGTGCGTAGCGTGCCGAGCAGGACCATCGTGCCCACGCTGTACTCGCCGGGCTTGGGTTTGCACAAGGGGTAGTCGTCGACGCCCTCGAACGCGCCTCCCGCGCCGGGCCGAGGCCGCTGCTGCTCCTGCTGCTGCTGCCGCCGCTGCCGGCTCGAGCCTGAGGGCGTGGCGTCGGAGGGAGGAGGGCCGCCGCCGCGACGGGCGTGTTCGGAACCCTGCTGGCCGGAGCCG